CCTCTTAAAATCCTTAACTGTTTCTGCAGAGATCTTCTTTTTCAAGTAAGGGACCTTCCCAGGTTTTGAGGGATTAGGTCCTAGACATATCATTTTGAGTGTCATCGTTCAACAAACTGTGCCATTGGAAAGTAGATGCATGGACAAAATCACAAAATGGATGGGAGGCAATGCATTGTGCAATGCCTTTGACCTTGCCCCAGTCCCAGATTGTATGTGCTTCATGATTTGGATGGGATCAGTTATGCAGCTTGGAGAGAAGTCTTTGTCTGATTCTAGACAACTGAGAATCAAATGAATGTCCAGAAAATATTACTTCCCCATGTTTTTAAGTCTTCTTTTTTAAACTTAACATACATTTATTGAAGACTTACTTTATTGCCAAGTGTTGTTCTAGATGTTTGAGATTTGTCAATGAACAGATTAGCCCTTGTGGAATGTATTTCTTGCATTGACAGTAATGACTTGAGAAATCCGTATAGGTGATTTAGGGATTTGGTATTTGTTTGATGAATGTTTGCCAGAAAGAAATTCTGTTCTTTGCTGTCATCAGCAAGCTCTTTGGATATTCAACAGAGTTGAAAGGATATATATTTTGAAGAATATGTTTTTGATGATAGTTCATATAAAATTATTCTTATTGAATTATGTAAGGGAAAGAAAAAGAACAAAATAATGGAAGCATAGCATGGGGATATCCCACAAACCTCTTTATATACAGATACTTTTGTCAGCATGATTTGTTAAAATCCAGCCAAGCATGAGCTAAAAAATTCAGACAAGTTGGTATTAGGCTGTGCAAAACTCAGTTTGTTATGTGTCATCTTCCTGCACTGGGATTTGTGGGAAAGAGGGTTGATCTGGCCAGTGCAGGTAGTTTCAACGATATTCTGAGACGCAGCAGGAAGGTCAGCTCTTGCAGCCAGCCACACTTGGTGGTGGTGACAGTTGCGGGCTATTTTGGGAGTGGAGGAGGCTTTGTTTTGTAAGGCCTTCTCTGTAACTCCCAGATTTAACTCTGGCACAGATCAGCTATCAGCTCCTTTTGCCTTTGATATGGTACAGTAGAGAGCATTTAATCACTGTCTCCCCATTTCATTGGTAAAATAAAGCATTTTGCTTGAAAATTGCTTGTCATTGTCACACCGTTTTTCAGAAGTTTTAGATGATTACCTGGCAATTTTTCTAAATAGCTTTATAGAGTAATTAAGTCAGACCACTTTTGCTTGAGGACCATTGTTACCACACTAGGAGTCTATGCTTCTGTAGAAATGCAAAACCAGAAGGAAATGGCATAAGCCAGCTGCAGTAGGAGTTTGTGTGGAGGACAGAAGAGTTTTCCCTTTGATGTCACAAGTGACATCAGAAACTTGTTTACATTCCTTTGCCTGCTGAGAAAAAGGAAAGACCCTTCTCCCTGGAAGGTTCAGTACTGCAGGCTGGGCGGTGCTCATGACCTCAGACAGGTTTTATAAATGGGTGAATCTGCTCATTTTCGATGCTTCTGTAGTGAATAAGCCAGCGGTGCAGCTGGAGAAGGCTTCTCAATTTAGTCGTTATTACTTGAGGAGATTTTTAGGGGCTGCTTCTCCTCCATAGCTTTAGTCATATTTCATCTTCTGGAAGGAAAAGAGCAAAACAAGGAGTGAGACTGTGGGTCTCACAACTCTGTTGATTGGTCTCTGTAACTTTTGATTCTCCTTCAACTTACTCTCAGTGCATATAATTTCATTCACACAATTCCTGACCTTAGAAATCCAGTAGATCCTAGATATTAGGTACTTTCTGAAGTCAGCCTCCCAGAAACTCTTGCTATTTCAAAGCCATTTTAGCCAAACCTCTGGCCCTTCTTTAAGTTACAGGAGATGGAGGAGAGCATAGGTCAGGAGTAAGTGCTAAGTGAAAAGTATGTATAATTGGTGCTTTTTCTTGGAAGTTGGTGTTTGTTAAATTATTAGTCTTTAAAAAAAATCAACCATGTCAGGCATTGTTCCATCGATTCATCTCCTTTCATCCTCACAGAACTCTACACGGTTGGTATTTTCATGCTATAGATAGCATTTTGTTTGGTTTGGTTTTGGATTTTGAGCCATATCCCGCAGTGTTCAGGAATCACTCCTTGTGGTATTTGGAGGACCATTTGGAATGCCAGGGATCAGACCCTGATAGTCCCATGCAAGGCAAGCACCCTACCTGCAGTACTATTGCTCTGGCCCTGCAAGTTAGTATTTTGATACTAGGCTATTTGTAAAGCTTAGATACGAAGCTTCACTATTGGTAAAGCTTTGTGCAAATCCAAGTCACCTGACTTCAAAACTGATGCTTTTAACAAAATATTATTTTTCACCTCGTGGACAGTATAGGGAATTATTCTCACAGTCAGCCTACTTTATTTTCTCTCAGAGTTTTTGGTTTGTTTTGTTTTTTGATTGATGCTGTGCCAAGTTACATTGCAGATTAGCTCGTATTTTTATTGTGTTCTCAAACATATTCACAATGTCATTCTCATGAAAATACTGCACCAAGGATGTGAGACTTATAGAGGGTAGTGTCACAAAACTGAAGATAAAAAGGTTTTGTTGGGGTGAAGGAGACTTCGAAGAGGAATGAATAGAAGTAAGAGAGAAGGAAAAGTAAAGATGTTTTTCCTGTATACCTGTGCTAGCTGGGCTTATTTTAGTCCCTTTGGAATTTGGCTGCTATCATCTTGAAAGGGCAAAGAATGATCTTGGGAATTTTGGCGTCCAAAAATCTGCCTCATGGTGGCATGGCTCTGGGAGCTAAGTTTTTAGACTGTTCTTTCAGAGCCAGAGAAATTTTGCAACCACACAGGAAGCAGTTGACCAAGCTGTTCTGGCTTACACAGGTTAAGATGGCACATTTGACCTTCTTCATAAATGAGTTTATTGTTACATGGGCAAAGGGTGTCTTCAAAATACTTTTGCCTTGAAATTGTAGTACGGTTTTTGGTGGTGGTGGTGGTGGGGTGATGGGGGCATGTGAAGCAGTGCTCAGGACTTCCTCCTGGCTTTGTGCTCAGGGATCACTCTGGGCAGTGTTCAGGTGCTAGGGAACAAACCTAGGTCAGCTGCGTGCATGGCACGTGCTCTACTTGTACAATCACTCACTTCTGGACTTGAATACTGTATTGAAAATAGTATTTCATTTTTTCACATAAAGTCTTTTTTAATTGTTTTTAGCAAGACACTCTGCACTGGGTTGGCTCAACCTTGTCATAGGTGATACAGACTGGCAAATGAGTGTAATAGTGAAAAATTTAAAGCAAGAGCTTGTAGAAGTTGATAAACCTAAGAAGCATATAGAAGCATTTATAGGGTAAATGCAGGGAGCTTCTTGTTGAAAGAGACTGTTAGGAATACAAAAGTCACCTGATATCCAAGTTTAATTTGGAGGAATACATCGAGGTTGATAATTTCAGTAACGATATAAAGAATATCAAGTTATTTGGATAAAATGAACTAAAATGCTTTTTTAGAATCAGAGTCAGCTATTAAATTTTTTCTTTTTTCCCCTAATTAAATTTTTTTGAGAATTTATAAATGCATTTATAATTATTATTTAAGTTATTTAAATGCATATATAATTATTACCTTGCTGATAAAATAGTTAACATTCCATCTTTGCAATCTTGTAAGGAATACAGTAAGATATTGTAAAGGCTTTCCAGTATAACCAGGTCATCAACAACCATGCACACATATACACACCACCTACTTTAGTGTTTAACACCGTACCAACTTTTCAGAAAGGCCCTCTTCAGAAGCTCTACTGGATAGCTGACCCTAATTAAATTTTTATCTATTTCCCTGCTTTTCGTTAGGATTCACTCAAGGTTATCTGTGGAGGAAGTTCTCGTAAGTTCTCTAAAGTCTGTACTTGCTAAGTCCCATAGTTACCAGAGTCCTCTGGTGTTCTACCTTGGATTCCCTCCCCCACATAATCGTTCATTTTAACAGTTGCCTATTATTATTCCTTGGTATGTTTTGCCAATATTCCACATGAGTAGAATTACAACAATATTTATCTTTTTCCATCTGCCTTATTTCATGGAGCATAAAACCCTCTAGTCCATCAGTACTGTTGCAAAGAGCAGATTTTGTCTTTTTCTGCTAGTTGAATAATGTTTCTGCATGTGTATGAGTGGCTACATTGAGTGAACACATTGTAGCCTCTTTCTCCATTCAGCACCTAGATGCACCCAAGTCTTGGCTGCTGTAATAATAAATAATGCTGTCAACTTGGCAGTGTACTTATTTGTTCAAGTCAGGGTTTTAAAGAATAATATCCTGAAGTAGGGTAACTGGGTTATATAGAATTTGGATTTGATTTTTTTTTTTTTGATGGGCAACACGCACAGTGGTCCTCAGAAGTTGTACTAGGGTTGGTTGTTTGGGATTTGTTCCTCGTGGTGCTCAGAGGACCATGTGGTACCAGGGATTGAACCTGGGCCTCCTATGTGTGAAGTATGCATTCCGCCCATTGAGCTATCTCTCTAGTCCCTATTCTTAATGTTTTGAGGAATATCCATACTTCTTTCTGTAATGTCTGTGCCAATTTACATTCTACCCACCCCAGTAGTATTAAGGGTTAGGAATCCTAGAATATTAGACTTATACATCACACTGGAAAAATTATATTCAATCTTATGTGACTTTTATTTCCCAATTCATGAGCAAATCAATGTTTCCTAACATGCCCTGTTTTAAAAATAACAATAAAACAGGTCACCCATTTATAGTATTATATAATCACTTTCTCAGTTTATTCTAATGGTATAAATGAGATTATATTATAACTGTTTCAGAGCTGATATAGTGAGGCATGTTCATTGAGAGGCCTGCACAAGATCTCAAAGTTTAATAGAAATTAACATCTCATTTCAAAGGCTCTGTTGTCCATGTCCAGAGAGTCTAGTTTGTAGTAGAACTTAATCAGTACTTGTTGAATGAATGAATGCATGAATGGGCTTTTCTTTTCAGGCCTGTATTGATGAAAATTTGGACATGGTGAAGTTTCTGGTGGAGAACAAAGCCAATATAAACCAGCAGGACAACGAGGGCTGGACCCCCCTTCATGCAGCTGCTTCCTGTGGCTATCTCAACATCGCTGAGTGAGTCTCTCTGGGTTGGGATTATTTATTGAAAGTCTTTATATCTCTTCAGCTCCCAAGGGCCTACCGTTCACAGTATAATTTCTCTTTGTTGCAAATGATAAAAGCTGGAGGTGAATTATTACTATTTTGGGAAAGGCACACCTGGTGGTGCTAAGGGGGTTACTCTGCCATTGCTCTGCACTCAGGAATCACTTCTGATGGTGCTCAGGGGACCATATGGGATGCTGGGGATTGGACTACGGTCGGCTGCTTGCAACACAAATGTCCTATTCACTGTACTATTGCTCTGACCTCATGGAGGTTGAATTATTTATTTTATAAGGAGTAATTTATGCTATATTTTATGTGGTAGCTAACTATAATCAGAAAACAAAACTTTCCCCCCCTTCCATTCACTGCGTTTTCTGTTGTGCTGACAGAATTGCCCTCCTTTGGTTCTTGGACTCCTTTAATTATAGTGTTTGCAGGGGGTTGCACTCCTGAGTTGCAAGTTGTGGAGTTTCCACACACGTCTGTGGTGCAGCTGTGTGTGGTACCAGGGATCTCAGACAATATTGCTGCATGGATGATTCTGAGTATACATGGTGGCATTGGGTATTGAACTGACAACTTGTTATTTGCAAGACAAGTGTCCTAAGCCATTGCACCTCCCCCAGGTTCTCGTTAGTGGGTTTTTTTTCCTCATTAGTGGTTTAAGTTGAAAATTTTCATTTGCTTCTATTTTCCAATAATGCATATTCTTTGGGACATGCTGAGGTGTCTGCCGATTGCTGCACTGGGTTCACTTTGAGTAACTGTTGGTAAGCACACATGGGCAGGCCAAGGGATTTTTGTAAACTTATCCTATTGCTTTAAAAATCATTGGGGTACATCTACACAATGGAATACTATACAACTGTTAGGGAAAAAATGAGGTCATGACATTTGCCTATAAATGGATTCACCTGGAGAGTTTACAGAAGTTGTTAGTACCATTATATTTATATTTTACTGTCTGTAGTTTTTGTGCTGCGTGAGATGAGTCAGAAGGAGAGGGACAGACATAGGATGACTGCATTTATCTGTGGGATATGTATTAAAAAAAAAACCAAACAGTACGAAACTAATATCCAAGGTCAGGGAAAATGAGTCAGGAGTACTAGTCAATGATTGGAAATTACAATAAGGGTGTGTGTGTGGGGGGGGGGGAGAGTAGTTAAGATAGAGGAGAGTCCATATTAATTGTAAATGAACACTCTAGACAAGAACTATGTGTTGAAAGTAGGTAAAGGGATATACATGATAACCTTTCAGCATCTATATTGCAAACCATAATGCCTAAAATATGAGAGAGAGAGAGAGAGAGAGAAAGAGAGAGAGAGAGAGGCTAGGTTGGGGGGTTGGAGGTGTGGGAGAGACTGGGGACACTGGTGCTGGGAAATTACACTGGTGGAGGGGTGGGTATTGGAACATTGTATGAGTGAAACCCAATCATGAACACATTTGTTAAAAAAACAAAAGACTGGAAAGATCTGTGCATAAATAAAAATCACAGTGTCTCTGAAAAAAAATCACTGGGGGCAGGAGAGATAGTAAAGCAGGTAGGGCACTTGCCATACATGTTGTATACCCAGATTCGATTCCTGTCATCCCATGTGGTCCTCTGAGCACCACCAGGAGTAATTTGAGTGCAGAGCAGGGAGTAACCTCTGAGTATTGCCAGGTGTGATCCCAAAACAAAAAAATCAACGAAAAACAAAACAAAAATTTCTCAGTATAAAGGCAGCTAGAGAATGCCAGATATTTTGATAATATTTTACATGGTAAATGGAAGGATAAGCTTATACATACACGAAACACAGTCAAGGCAGAGATTGGCATGTGTTCTCCAAATTAGTTGAATGAGTAAAGCCGCTAAGCTCCATGACAACTAGGTGTACCTCCCTCAGACAAGAATCTGGACCACAATATGAGTCACGAGATTCACCCTTGGCCCCAGAGTATAGGGAGGACAAGGAATGAAACAGTGAAGGCAAAGGGGAGAAGAGATAGATGAGAAGCAACAGGGCAGGGGTCAAGGGGATTCAGGTACATCAGTGGAATGATATCCATCCCAGAGTCAAACAACACTGAAACCGTAAGACCCAAACTTTAATAACCCAATTTTAAAGATGCCTGTCAAGGTGGCAGGCTGGGACTGGGGGCATGGGAGTTAGGAGAGGGAATCTGGAAATATTAGTAGAGGGAAGTTGACACTGGTGGTGAAATTGGTGAGCAACATTGTATCTTAAAACTCCGACTATGAAATGGTGTTTTAATAAGATAAAATTTTGGAGCAAAAAGTCACTAAAACAATGTCTTGTGAAGGAAGAAGTGGCCAAGGAGATTGTTCTTATTTATTTAATTTTTCCCCTTTAATTTATTTTTATTTTTTATTGAATCACTGTGAGATACACAGTTATAAAGTTGTTCATGATTGAGTTTCATTGTACAGTGTTCTATCACCCATCCCTTCACGAGTGTACGTTTCCCACCACCATTGTCCCCAATTTCCCTCCCCCAACCCCAGCTTTCCTCTATGGCGGACTCTCTCTCTCTCTCTCTCTCTCTCTCTCTCTCTCTCTCTCTCTCTTCCTCCCTCCCTCCCTCCCTTCCTCCCTCCCTCCCTCGCTCCCTCTTCCTTTTAGGATTGTGGTTTGCAATACTGTTACTGAAAGATTATCATGTATATCACTTTACCTCCTTTCAGCACCCAGTTCTTGTCCAGTGATTATTTCCAACAATCATTGTCACAGTGGTTCCTTCTCTGTCCTAACTGCACTCCTCACCCACACTTGTGGCAAGATAAATGGGAAGAAGACTTTGATAGGTGTAATATCTTTGTTTTTCTATTTTTTTAAATTGTTGTGGGGCCCACACCTAGTGGTGCTTGGGTACCGTGTAGCTCTAGGGAGCAAACCCAGTGTCTCACATATGCAGGGCCTGTGCTTTCCCGCTAGTCACATCCCTGGCCCTGGAACAGCTTTAAAATGAGGGGCCAGTGAGATCGTAGAACAGGTAGGGAGCTTGTCTTATACACAGCTGACTTGGATTCGAGCCCCAGCACCCGATATTGTCCCCTGAACCCCACCAGAAATGATCCCTGAGCACCACCAGGTATGACCCCCAAACCAAAAACCAACCAACAAAAAAATGAGGCCATTGAGTATATTCTGGAAGAGGGTCAATTTTGACTGATAAGGCAAATTCCGTAAATAAAAATCATGATGTTATAGGATCCTTTGAAAACTAGATTGCTTATTTTAAGGTTTATTTCAATATAGTTAGCGCATTTTTACATATTTCTCTCTCAGCTGACAGCAGGGAAAATCGTTGGCAACTGTGCCCAGGCCTGGGATTGGCTTTGTTGTTGGATTTGTATAGATTTCCCAGGGGAGAGCCCATGCCACTGGTTTGCTCGAGAGCTGGGATGTCCTATCAGAGCAGTTAAAAGGACAGTGAGCGGGAGAAACAGTCAGCAGGAGGCCTGGGAGTGACTGGCTGCCTGTTCTGAGGAAGGGACGATGGATGGAAGGTCCTGAGGCCAACAGAACCAGAACAAAGCAGTTTCCTTTGCTCTGGCACTTCGTTCTTGTAGTTTAGTAAGTCAGTTCCCGCTTCCTCCCCTGGACTCGCCTCTTTTCATGGAAAGGCTGAGTCTCACTGTACCCGTAAATGCCAACTTTCTGATGTCCAGCAGATCAGGAGATTGGCATAGACTTCTATTTTGCCTTTAAAACTATTTTCATGTTTACAGAAGTTGTTAGTACCATTATATTTATATTTTACTGTCTGTAGTTTTTGTGCTGCTAAATCTCATTCAAGGATTTCCCTTTTTGTTGGTTTGTTGTTGTTTTTTTGTGTTTTTTTTTTTTTTTTACTATTGGAAAGCAGCAAATAGAGCTCATGCTTAGAATGAGGATTGCTTATGTTGGCATTATCCACAAGCGTTCCTTTCTTTCTCCTTTTGTGAAGCTGAGTACAAAGAATGATTGTAAATGTGTTTTTACAGTGGTTTCTTTATTTCCCCCCACGCTCCTTTTTTTGGGGGGTGGTGCAAGGTGCAGGGATCAAACCCAGGGCTCACGCATGCAAGGCAAGTGCTCTACTGCTGAGCTGCATCCCTGCCTACATAGTGTCTTTCTTCTTTTGGCTTTTTGGGTCATACCCAGTGATGCTCAGGGACTACTCCTAGCTCTGCACTCAGGAATCATTCCTGGTGCTGCTCAGCAGACCATATGGGATGCTGGGGATTTAACCTGGGTCAGTCATGTGCAAGGCAAATGCCCTACCCACTGTACTATCGCCCCAACTTTCTAAATAACAGCAGAACACTTCATGACATTGAAGCTAGAGGTATCATCAGTGATTCAAAACCATTGGCCGAGCAAGCTGAAATAAAGATAAATAAATACTCTTCTTCAGCGTTGCAAATAATATTTTAGAAGGTTGGTCCATGGTCATTTCCCCCCTTTTCTTTTTGTAGCTTAAGTATCCCTTTTTTAGGGGGCGCTCACACCCATCGACATTCAGAGATTACTCCAGGCTCTGCACTCAGGAATTAACTCCTGGCGGTGCTCTGGGGACCATAAGGAGTGCCAGGGATCAAACCCTGGTCGGCCACAAGCAGGGCAAATGCCATACCTGCTGTACCATCACTCCAGCACCTGTAGTTTAAATATGTTAAACTCTATATTCTCATTAGAAACTCTGTATTTCTTTTTTTTTTTTCTTTTTGCGTCACACCCGGTGATGCTCAGGGGTTACTCCTGGCTCTGCACTCAGGAATTACTCCTGGCAGTGCTCTGGGGACCATATGGGATGCTCGGAATAGAACCTGGATTGGCTGTGTAGAAGGCAAATGCCCTACCTCTGTGCTATCGCTCCAGCCCCAGGGACTCTGTATTTCTAAGGAGTGGAAAGGAACAAAAAAGACAACTAGTTTTCTAGGTGTTCTAAGTGTATTTTGACCTTCACAT